TTTTGCTAAGAACCATTTAACAATAGGAGCTGGTAACATTCAGTAAGGTGACATTCTATAATGCAATTAAGTTGATCTACTAATAAAAGCTTGGTTTTAGCAAGCATTCTCTTCTTACAGCAATTTCCTAGTATGTTTAAACATCAGTCCATATAGCCTGTCTGTCTTTGAGCCAGCAACCTTGCCGGGTAGCAGTTGTTTACCTTACAACAGAGACTGTAGCCTGGGGGAAATTTCCTATCCTTTGCAAGGTCAGTATTTAAAAGGGCAAGGCTTTGGAAAACCAGGCCCTGTGAAGTACAAGTACATTTGCTTTATGCATACTTCACAACTGGGTGATTGATAAAACTATATTCATTGCTTATAGCTTTGAATGCTGGGAAGTCCACAGTCTGGGGAACACGTGTGGTGAGGGTCTTGTAGGTGGCGACCTTGACCCAGGGTCTCACAAGGCAAAAAATGGCAGAGCAGAGAGATGATTGTCCTTCGAATGAGAAGAATGTAGAGGTTAGAGTCTCAGTGAAGAGGAGGGGCTTCTCTGATCAAGAAAGATGAAATGACTCATTAGATACGTCGCTCTTTCATGGTCCTATACCCTAGAGGTATGGAAAGGACTGAGGACAGTGGCAGCGTGTAGAGCTGGTCATGGACGTGGAGGGCAAGGGACTCTGGTGGGAATGTTGTGACGGGCATTGTGTGTTGAAGGGAGTCTCTCCATCCCCTATCCCATCCCCAGCACTAGCCGGGATCAGCATAGCTGGGAGACAGAGGACCACTATACACATTATTGTGTGTGAAATGAGAAAGTGTGGTCCTCTGGCAGAGGTGAGGCTTCTGTGATGGCAGCAAGTCCTTATTTTACACTTACCCTGAGAATTCTGGATCTTTTGCTGGCGAAGGCATTGTGGTTTCCCCGTCATTCTGTGCACTGCCTTAGACTGTGAGAAATGGCTGGGGGAAAGGTGGCCCTTGACCCTGTTACACTGTTGTCTAGTACAGTAGTTGGAGGGATTCTTCTGAGCGGCAACTGCTGTTTCTGGTGACCAGTGGCTCTAGGTTGAGTTGACCCCTCAGTGTTTCAGTTTCGGAAGGCAGCTCGGCTTCCACCACAACACCAACACTTAGACATGTCTCATATTTGTAGTTCACTTGCAGAGACTTAGGAATGTGAATTGTTGTTTCTGGTATGTTCTTCCAATATACTCTCAGATGCTTGATTCTTTCTTGTTTTAATGGCTCAAATGTCATGTATAAGGTCGTACGGGAGGCACGCACTGGCATTGGCAGCATCTGGGGATTGGAAAATTGGGAGTCCCAGGAAAAAACTGGTGATGGCCTATTGTCAGGCTTCTGTGCTCAGGCACTAAGGTGCTGAACTGAATGGTTTCCACTATGCAGAGCAATGGCATGTCAGGAATCATGAGTGCTCTTGATTCCCTAATGGGAATGAAGTGGAATTTTCTACAAGCATTTATTAACTTTGTGCACTCTTCTGATGACCATACTCTGCGCATTGCTGGGGGAAAAAAGCAGTCAGGCCCCAGGGGCTGTGCCATCCATACATCTTGGGAGGGGCCTTAGAAGGGGCACGCTTAAGTTTGGGCAGGTGCACACAGGGACGGTGTCCTAGGAGCTTTGTGGCTGTGGGGGTGGTTAGAAACACCGTGTAGGGACTGGTCCACCTGGGTTGTAGGGTTTTGGGGTGTAGTTCTTTTAGTAAAACACTATGCCCTGGGGTTAAAGCTTGGGGAGTATCCACGGTGAGGTCCCTGGGGGTGGGACTAACCGAGTCAGCGTGGGCTGGCAAAAGGGTCCTAAAAAGGGTTAGGTAGGGTAGGTACGATAGAAGGGGAGAGGGTGAGGCTGGAAAGTTGTGGGTCAGCAGGAAGGGCCTTCCGTAGANTCCCAGGAAAAAACTGGTGATGGCCTATTGTCAGGCTTCTGTGCTCAGGCACTAAGGTGCTGAACTGAATGGTTTCCACTATGCAGAGCAATGGCATGTCAGGAATCATGAGTGCTCTTGATTCCCTAATGGGAATGAAGTGGAATTTTCTACAAGCATTTATTAACTTTGTGCACTCTTCTGATGACCATACTCTGCGCATTGCTGGGGGAAAAAAGCAGTCAGGCCCCAGGGGCTGTGCCATCCATACATCTTGGGAGGGGCCTTAGAAGGGGCACGCTTAAGTTTGGGCAGGTGCACACAGGGACGGTGTCCTAGGAGCTTTGTGGCTGTGGGGGTGGTTAGAAACACCGTGTAGGGACTGGTCCACCTGGGTTGTAGGGTTTTGGGGTGTAGTTCTTTTAGTAAAACACTATGCCCTGGGGTTAAAGCTTGGGGAGTATCCACGGTGAGGTCCCTGGGGGTGGGACTAACCGAGTCAGCGTGGGCTGGCAAAAGGGTCCTAAAAAGGGTTAGGTAGGGTAGGTACGATAGAAGGGGAGAGGGTGAGGCTGGAAAGTTGTGGGTCAGCAGGAAGGGCCTTCCGTAGAGGAGTTCAAAAGGGCAGAGGCCGGATGGTCCCCTAGGGGTGGCCCTAAGGCTAGTAAGTGCCAACAGGAGGAGGGTTGGCCAAGATGAGCAGGTCTCGAGGGAAAGTTTAGTAAGATGTTCCTTGAGGAGGCCGTTGGCTCGCACAACCTTACCCGAGGATTGGGGATGGTAAGGGATGTGGAGTTTCCAGGTGACATTCAGACTTTTGGAGACCTGCTGGGTGACACTGGAGGTGAAGGCTGGGCGGTTGTCAGATTGTAGGGCCCGTGGGAGGCCAAACCTTGGGATGATATGCTCAATGAGTGCAGCGCCTACCTTGTCCACTGTTTTTTGAGCAGTGGGGTAAGCCTCAATCCATCCCGTAAAGGTGTCCACCAAGCTAGTAAGTAACGATAGGTTTTGTGATGTGGCATGTGGGTTAAATTAAGCTGCCAGTTCTCCCCTGGTTGATGGCCTCGGAGTTGATGGTTAGTTAGGTCGTACCGTATGATTTCCCCCTTGAGAGTTAACAACAGAACAGGTATTGCAAGACTCATGAACCTCCTCAATGAGGTTTTGGAGATGTGGGTTATGGAAAAGGGGTTCTAGGAACCGACGTAAAGCTTTTGGGCCAATGTGGAGGGATTGGTGGGCCTCTGTAGTGATGCTGCAGGCTAGGTGGCCTGGGAGGGCGACCTTTTCTTGGATAAAAATCCAGCCCCTGTTCCCGACAATTCCCCCCAACCTCCTGAGGGTCTGAGTTTCTTCTTTGGTATACGAGGGGGATGGGGAGTGTTTAGGAAAAGGAGAGGAGCTGGGGCGGAGCCTAGAGCCGTAGCGTGGGCTGTGGGATCGGCTTTGTTGTTCCCTTTAGATGTAGGGTCTTTAGAGGACTGGTGGCCACGGCAGTGCACGATAGCCACCTCAGTTGGGAGGCTAAGGGCCTCAAGTAGCTTTTAGATGAGGGGCCCATCGATTATTGGGGTCCCTTTAGCAGTGAGGAATCCTCGTTCTTGCCAGAGGACAGAATGAGTACGGGTGATGAGGAAAGCATATCTGGAATATGTGTATATAGTGACCCATTGTCTCGTGGACAGGTGGAGGTTCCGAGTGAGGTGTCCCTTGGACAGGTTGAGGGCCTGAGTGAGGGCTTTCAGCTCCTCCTTGTGAGACATTGTTCCGAGGGGCAGGGGTACAGACTCGTAGGTAACGACAGCACAGGCTGCATGCCTTTGGCCGTCCGGGGCAATGAAAGAGCTTCCGTCTACGAAGCACATGGTCAGGATTAGATAGGGGCCGGATAGAGAGCCCTGGGTGTGAGGGAATAAAGTCCGCTAGAAGTTGAGGACGGGAATATAAAGGGTCCGGAGTAGTGGAGGGAGCAGGCGGAAGGGTCGGGTTTGCATACCTGTGGATCATCTGCAGGGACTTATACAAGTGAACTGCTGTTGCTG